GGATTATGGGGAGAAGGCAGGAGAACGGGGTTGAGAAGCATATCAGCTATGATTGAAAGGCAGAGTAGACTTGATGGCCAGAATGGCCTAATTCTGCTCCTATATCTTACTGTCTTCTGGTGATTACAACCTCTGGAGTAAGTGGGGCTGTAAGAAATATGAACAGGAGGATGCTGTTGGGGCCCTTTTGAGCCAGCTGCGACGTGGAGTTCCTACGACACTCAACCCTGTGAGAGAAGAAATTCCTCATTCCTTAAAACAATTCTAGGACTATGCCTTCTGGTCCTATGCTCTCTCCAGTGAGGGAAACATTTAAGCTGTCAAGCCCCTTAAAAATCCTATATGTTTCAATGACATCTTCTCAAATTCTACTAAGTTCCAATGAGTAGATTCCCAAACTGTTTAGCCTATACTTTTTATAAAACGATCATCCTAGCTAACCTCTGAACTGCTTCTAATGAAATAATAGCTTTGCTTTAGATAAAGGGACCAAAATTGCACTCAGTACTTTAGCTAACACTGTGGGGCTGGAGGAACGCAGCAGGCCAGACAGCTGTGCTCCTCTGATGCTGCCTGGCCTGCTGTGTTCCTCTAGCCCCACACTGTGTTATCTCTGACTCCAGCATCTGCAGTTCTTGCTATCTCTCAATACTCCAGATGTGGCCTCACTAGCACCTTGTACAATTTCAATAAGGCTTCCCTACTCTTATACTTCAATCTTCTTGAAATAAGGGCTAATATTCCACTAGCCTTCCTGATTACCTGTGTGCTAGCTTTCTGTGTTTTGTGCACAAGTCTCCCGCAGCCCCCTTGTGTTGCAGCTTTCTGAACTATTTCTCCATTTAATTAGTTCTCTGTTCTTTTGTTCTCCCGTTCAAAAATGAGGAACTTCACATTTTCCCACATTATATTCCATTTTTCAACATTTTGCCCACTCACTTAACTTATGAGTATCCTGTGTAAACTGTTTGTATCTCTCTCACAAGTGCCTTTCTGTCTGGTTTTGTGCAGATTTGGCTACAACACATTCATTTTCTTAAGAACTGAAGAACTGCGGATGCTGGAAATCAGAAACCAAAACAAAAATTGCTGGAAAAGCTCAGTAGGTCTGGCAGCATCTATGGAGAGAAATTGGACTTGATGTTTCAGGTCCAGTGATCCTCCTTCAGAACTGCTGGTAGCTGGGAAAGTGTTGATTTTTTACGCAGAAGATAAGGTGGGGTGAGGGGGTAAGCAGTAAATAATAGATGGAGCTACAGCTCAGAGAGAGAGAGGACACTTGAACAGACAAAGTAGTGGATAACAGTCAGGTAAGGAAAATGAATAGTTAGTAATGGGGACTGTTAGTGGCTAACAATGCCTGTGTGTAATAGCAGACTGTCATAACACGGCCTGGGGTGCAGGACTTGGGGTAAGGACATGGGAGCAGCTGAAGCCCTAAAGTTGCTGAACCTGATATTGAATTCAGAAGGCTGGAGGGATCCCAAGTGGAAAGTGCGTTGTGTTTTTTTTTCCCCCAGCTTGAGCTGAGCTTCACTGGAGTACTGCGGCAAGCCTGAGACAGATGTTGGCCAGGGAACTATGTGGTGCGTTGAAGTGACAGCTGGAAGCTCTGGGTCTTTTTTGCAGACAGAATGTTCCGTGAAGCCGTTGCCCAGTCTATGTTTCGCTTTCCTAATATAGAGGAGACCCTACTGTGAGCAGCGAATGCAGTAGGCTCGATTTGAGTGAAGTGCAGGTTAAGTGCTGCTTCACCTGGAAGGTGTGTTTGGGCCCTTGGATACTGAGGAGGGAGGAGGTAAAGGGACGGTGTTACACCTTCGGCAGTTGCAGGGGAAGGTGCCCTCAAGCTATGGATGGGTGTTGGGAGTGAAGAAGGAGTGGACCAGGGTGTCCTGGAGGGAATGGTCCCTGCTGAAGGCTGGTAAGGGAGGGGAGGGGAATATGTGTCTAGTTGTAGCATTCTGCTAGAGGTGGCAGAAATGGCAGCTAATGAGCCTCTGAATGTGGATGCTGGTGGGATGGTAAGTGAGGATAAGGGGGAGATCCTGTTGCTATTGTGGGAAGGAAGAGAAATGGTGAGGGCCCAAGTGTAGGAGATGCCTTGGACATGGCTTAGGGCCTCCATGACTGCGGTGCTGGGGATTCCTCGGTTGAGGAAGAAGGTGGACGTTGCAGAGACCACCTTTTCAAAGTTTGCATTATCCTAATAGATGCGATAGAGATGGAGGTGCTGGGAGAATGGAACAGAGTCTTTACAGAGAGCACGGTGTGTGGATGTATAGTGGGTTTATAGTGGATAGTGGCCAGCCTATCCCCAGAATTGGAAATAGATGTCAAGGAAGGGAGGAGTCAGAGATGGACCAGGTGAAGTTGAGAGCAGGTTGGAAGTTGAAGGCAAAATTGATAAATTTCTCCAATTCTGGAGGAGAGAGAGGGAATCAGCACCGATGATATCGTCAGCATGCTGGAGAAAGTTATGGGTGGGGGCCGGAATAGGACTGGAACAAGGAATGTTCCATGTACCCCACAAAGAAACAGGCATAACTGGGGCCCATGTGGGTGCCCAAGGCCATCCCTCTGATCTGAAGAAAGTGAGAGGAGTTAAGATAATTTGTTCAATGAGACAATGAGCTCGGCCAGGCAGAGGAGAATGGTGGTGGATGGGGATGGGGACATTCACTTTCTTCCTCCAAGTTATTAATGTACAGATCTCCTGTTGCATTGCAAGAACCCTTTAGATTCTTCTGTGTCTTTATCCACATCAATATAAATCACACAGGTCTTGTATGTAGATTGAAATGTTAATTATCCATTATTGAGATATATTTCCTCTTGGAATTAAATGGACAGTTCAAAGTACAACTGTCTACAACCTGGCATTTTCAGTACTCTTCTGGGACTTTTTGACATTTGGGTCTGAAACTTCATGGAGAAAGCAAGACTCTGTACCTTAACCTGCCTCAGAAGAGACCTCTGAATCACACCCACCATCTCTTTCCCTTACGTTCTCCACGCAAATTCACTTAGTATCCAGCAAGGGCAGACCTCAGGATCCACGGTTAGATGAAATAAAAGAAAATTTGAAGTATCTATTACAGACTTGTAATATTATTTTAAAATAAAAATTCTAATTGATGAAAGCCCATTCAGTATGCTAGCTATCCGAGATGGTGGCAGAGTAGGACTCTCCATTTGGAGCTCCTCTGCTCGCCAGTTTCCTTTTCTTTCTTTCTTTCTTTTTCCCCTCTTTTTGTAGTTCCCCGACCCACAACTTTTGACTGCCCTGTCCTACCTGGAGAGTAGAGTTGAGGGAGACGGATCGTGGCTGGAGCCCGAGCGGGAGCTGAGCGCTCGGCCCTGTGGCAGAGAGGGTACAGGTACAGGCCGAGTCCCGGGCAGAGCGGCCTTGTGTTCTGGAGCTGGCGGGCGTGGACTGATGTTGGAGACGGAACTTAAGTACTTGTGGTCGCTTTTATTATCATTCTGGACTTTTTAAACTGTTCCCGTGCTAATGTTTTTTTTCTTTTAACTCTAACAACACTTAAAGTATCTGTACCTAGGTATTGTGTGTGTAAGATGACGCCGAGAGGTGATGTTACAAACTTTTCACTGCACTCACCTGAGTTCATGTGACAGTAAAAGCTATTCTGATTCTGATTAAATCCTTTCAAATACTTAACATCTCTGTCCTCATTTTCTTTGAGCATTTGATCTCTTCCAGAAAAAGCAAACTTTGAATTTTAAATTCATAATCATGACCACTTGGATGTACGAATCAAACTGTGAATTTACAAGCCCCTCACTGATAATTTCTGGAAGCAGTCAAACAGCGCCAATCCTGTAACGATAGCCCTTAGGTTTATGTCAACAAAAATCCATTGAAATTGCAAGAACTGACTTTTTTTTTCTCGCAAATGCTTTTTTTTAATAAAAGCTAAAGAGCAGCGGTTTTAGCTGATGGTTCCATAGACCTTTATATACCTTTTAAGCAAATACATATCTACCTGTATCAATCTCAACGGGGCCTGGACCTCGTCCAAAGGGGTGCCTGGACCTTTCTAAGAATACCTTGCCTCCCCAATAAACTCTTTTATTTTCAGTTATACACCATTTTCTCCAATGTCAAAAGATGATGAGTTTTGTTTTGGAAATCTTGATTTTGAAAATTGATTCTGTTTAAAGGCCGTTGAACTTTTAAATTTTCTGATGCTTTCATGAACAACAGATCCTGTCCTAATTTTCCCCTCTCAATTTTCCCCTTCCCCATCCTCTTGGTGAGTTCAATAATTTTAGGGCCCAAACTCTCCCATGTTCCAGCCTCCCAGCCCCCCACCCCACACACCAGGCTTTGTTACCACATAGCCTGCCGCTACACACCCCCCCGTTGTTAGTCACTAACAGTCCCCATTAACAACTGTTCACCCTCCCAGCCTCATCGTTAGCAACTCCTTTGTCTGCCCAACTGTCTTTCTCTCTCTTTGGGCTCTATCCTATCGTTTACTCCCTACCTCACCCACCTCCCTATTTTCTGCATATAAGCTGACGTTTTCCCAGCCACCATCAGTTCTGAGGAAGGGTCACAGGACCAGAAATATTAACTCTGTTTTCTCCTCCACAGATGCTGCCAGACCTGCTCAGCTTTTCCAGCAACTTTGTTTTTGCTCTTACTGAAGGGGTTGGGGGGAAACAAATTGAGTACTGGGACCATGTATGGGACTTCTGGATTCCGAGCTACGGCACCATTTGAGCTTTTATGGTTTCTTTTTCTTCTTTATTTGTCATGGTAAACGTTGTAAAGCGTGAAATCTTCATGTTCGTTCTTTTCAAAGTCATAAGTTCATATTTTAAGTTATTGGTCTCTGGGAAGATCACAACAAATGATCAAAAACTGTAGTATAATGCAATACTTGTATAATTCATTGTTCTGTGTAGAATGAAGAACCGATTTTCTAAATTTCACCTCGAGTTAATACTTATTATTTTGTTTGATTTCACAGATGAAACCATGCAGCAAGACAGTCCTGTATGTGCTGCTCACATCACTGAACAGCTGGCCAAAAAATTTGCTATTCGGTCAGGTAAGAATCATTGTTTACATCACCTCTCACTTGCTTATGGTCCCATTGACAGATGTGGTACTAAACTCGGATTATAATTCCTTCCTTTGTTTGAGAATGGGAAAGCCACTTGTAACTATTACAATGTAGCAATACCAAGTTGATTATTATTAGGTAACTGTTTTGGTAATGGTGCAGAAACCCAATTTATTACAGTAACTAAAATCTATATTCCGAGTCTTCTTTATTTTCAAAGAGCTAGAATTTAAAATGGTGCTGCTCCTTTGGCAGGCACAAAATGTAAAACCAAATATCTTTGAACTACAAGAAAGCAATAGAAGTTCGTTTAGGAATCAGTAAAGATAAATGTTTTTGCAAGATGTGAGCCTTCTTGTAGGCAATGCAGTTATATCTGGTGATGGGTGCTTCAGATGTAGCTTAGACCTCTTTTGAAGCAGTGCTAGTGATCCATATCGTCCATGGAGTTAATTTGTAAGTGTGTGTACATACGGGGATTCTAGATTTGGCTGTAATGTGCATTGTTCCTTGATGCTTGTTAACATATTGGAAAAGAAAAGTTTGGTTTTAAAATATGCACCTAAGTACACACAGTTGGTTGTACTTTGTTTAATTGTTTGGGACTTTACATTGTTACATACAAGCGTACGAACTAGGAGCACGTGTAGGCTATTTAGCACCTTGATCTTCCTCCATCATTCAGTACAATTGTGGCTGATCTGATTGTAGCCTTCTACCCTAATAACTTCTCAACCCCTTGCTTAACGACTATCGACTTCTATGTTAAAAATATTAACAGTCTGTGTCCACCACCTTTTCAGTAAGAGTTCAAAATACCACAACCCTCTTGGGAGGAAAAAAAAAACTCTTAACGTCTGTTTAAATGGGTGACTGCTGCTTTTTTTTTAAATGTTGGCCCTAGCTCTAGATCCTCCTATGAGAGTAAGCATCTGCTCCACAACTGTCCTGTCAAGATTCCTCATTTTTATATTCCATTCAAGTCACCTCTTACTCTTCTAAACTCCAGCAGATCCAAGCCTGGTCTGTCCATCTCTTCCTCATGACATGTCCCTCTTATTCCCACTGTTGGTCTGATAAGCCTTTTCTGAGCTGACTCTAATAATTTACATTCTTTAAATAAGGTCATTAATACTGTTTGCAGTACTCCAGATGTGGTCTTGTCTTCTACTTCTGTATTAATTTGCCCTTGCAACAAATGATAACATTCTGTTAGCCCAGAGCTCTATGCAGCTCAGCTATGCAATCTCTCACTGTTTAGAGAATTGCTTCTTGTTTTGTTCTTCCTGCCAGCATGGAAAATTTCACATTATCCTAAATTATACTCCATTGCCACATCCTTGCCCACACACTTAAAACCTCTACAGGGTCCCCTGTCTTGGGCAGGCCTTGTAAAGGTGGCCTGTTTCCTCTCTGACTCCTGGACTTCTTGCAGTCCTTGGTCAGGTGCCCCTCCTGTTTACAGTTCCTGCAGAGGGTCACCATGCAGTCCACTGCTCTGACCTCCTGCAGGTTCGGCACACCTCTATAGGCTGCCCCTTGGGTATGTCTGGTAGCATCTCCTCCCTCAGATCACCAGGCTGGATGGAGGGTGGACGATGTTTTCCCAGCATTTCTGATTTACGGCTTCCTCAACTCTTCAGGGCTTTTTTTGTGTGCAGCAAAGAAATTGGTTAAAAACTGAAAAAACTGTAGATGCTAGAAATCGGAAACAGCTACAGAAATTCTGGAAAAGTTCAGCAGCTCTGGCAGCATCTGAGGGGAGAAATCGGAGTTAATCTTTCGGGTCCAGTGACCCTTCCCAGAATGTTTGGGTCAGCCGTACGTAATAGTCAATATTGGTGTTAATGACACAAGTATGAACAGGAACAAAAACAGAAGTTGCTGGAAAAGCTGAGCAGGCCTGGCAGCATCTGTGAAGAAAACAAAATCAGAGTTGACGTTTCCGGTCCGGTGACCCTTCCTCAGAACTAAGTAAGAAGAGGGTTCGGGTTCTGAAAGCAGAATTTGGGAGTTGAGAAAGAAATTGAAAAGTAGTACCTCGAGGAGTAATCACAAGATTACTCCCAGTGCCACATGCTGGCATCGATAGGAACAGGAAAATCGATCAATTGAACGTGTGGCTGAAGATCTGATATAGGGAAGAAAACATCGGAATTCTAAGGCATTGGGATCAGTTCTGGGGCAGGTGGGACTTGTATGATCTAGATAGGTTACATCTTAACAGGATTGGGAATGGTATCCTTGCAGGGAGATTTGCAAGTACTCTTGGGGTTGATTTAAAACCAAGTTGTAGGGAGGAAGGGTTGGGAGTGTAAGGTGTAATTTGAAGGGTGTTAGGCTGGTAATAGGAAGTAAAAAGCTGCAAGGGAGGGTTGGAGGAGAAGTGAAGCCAAGAATAGAGTGTGTCTCGAATGCAGAATGATGTCAAAAAGACAAAGTTAATGGCACTACGACTGAATGCATGCACCACGTTGACATCCGTTCACTCCCTCCACCACTGATGCTCAGTAGTGGCAGTGTATACCCTATCAGTAAGATGCACCTTGGAAATTCACCGAAGATCCTTAGACAGCACTTCCAAACCCACAACCACTTCCACCTAGAAGGATAAGGACAGCAGTTTCTTGGGAACACCACCAGCTTCAGGTTCCCCTCCAAGCCACTCACCATCCTGACTTGGAAATGTATCGCCGTTCCTTCATTGTCACTGAGTCAAAACCTGGGAAACCCTTCCCTAAGGGCATTAAAGATCTACTTACAGCACGTAGACTGTAGCTTTCAATAAGGCATATCACCACCATCAAGGGCAATAAATGCTGACCAGCCAGTGATATCCACATCCCACAGTGAATAAAGAAGAAATTTGAGTGAAGAAAACAGGCACTTCATAAATAATTGGAAAATTTGGTACCAGCCAGCACTTCCACACTGTCCCCAGTCAAATGGAAAGCTGGAGACAGCACTCAAGATCACTAAAGGAATCATGAAAATTGAACAGATACAAAGGGATAATGTACAAGACAATCGTAGCGTGAAGAGATATGCATACAGAAAGAAAATAGCCTAAACCACTGATTAATGTCACCACATCCAAACTATTTTTCCAACAGCTAACATAAACTACTGAAGCCAGAAATAGTAACAGAAATGAATGACAAAATCAAAGTCAAATGACAGAAAGCTAAGCTGCAGTCTGCTAGAACTTGAGCATCAGAGAACCATAGCGTGCAAACATTCAAAATTCAAAATATGCTTAACAAAAGGCCACTTCTCCATACAGGTTCCAAATAGTCAAATTGTCACCTTGATGATACATAAACATGAATGACCAGCTATATCATTCCCAACTGCAGATATATACGTACAACTGGAGGAACTACTCCTTTGCTGCAAACAGCTGACAAAAGATTCATAGTCATCGAGGTCTACAGTGTGGAAACGGGCTCTTCGGCCCAACTTTTCACAATATAAACTAGTCCCATTTGCCTGTTTGGTCCATGTCCCTCCATATCTATCCCATCCATGTACCGGTCTAATTGTTTCCTAAATGATAAAATTGTACTCGCTCCCACAACTACCTCTGGCAGCCTGTTCCAATCACATGCCACCCTCTGTGTGGGAGAAGAAAATTCGCCCCCTTGGACCCTTTTGTATCTCTCCCCTCTCCCTTTAAACTCATGCTGTCTGGTTTTAGACTCCCTTCCCATGCGGAAAAGCTGTTGGCTATCTATCATATCTATGCCTGTTATGATCTTATAGACCTCCATAAGGTTACCCCTCAGTCTCCTATGCTCTGGGGGGAGAAAAATCCTAGCCTATCCAGTCTCTCCTTAGAACTCAAAACTAGTAAATCTTTTCTTCACTCTTTCCAGTTTAATAATATCCTTTCTATAGCAGGAGAACTAGAACTGCACACAGTACTCCGAATGTGGCCTCACCAACATCATGTACAGCTGTAACATGACGTCCTAACTCCTATATTCAGTGCTCTGATTGATGAAAGCAAGTATGCCGAAAGCCATCTTCACCACCATGTCTACCTGTGAATTCGCTTTCAAGGAGCTGGGAACCTGTACCCCTAGATCTCTTTGTTCTATAATATTCCCCAGGGCCCTACCACTGACTGTATAAATCCTGCCCTGGTTTGACCTACCAGAATGTAACACCTTGCATTTATCTAAATTAAACTCCATTTGCCATTCCTCAGCCCACTGGCCCATTTGATCAAGATCTCACTGCATTCCCAGATAACCTTCACTGTCCACTATATCACCAAGTTAGGTGTCATCTGCAAACTTACTAACCACACCTCCTAAATTCTCATCCAAATCATTTATATAAATGATGAGTAACAGTGGACCCAACACCACCGGTCAGAGGCCACCAGCCTGAAACTCAGCCCTCTACCATCACCCTCTGTCTTCTACTTTCAAGCCAATTTTGTGTCCAATTGGCTAGCTCTCCCTGGATTCCATGAGATTTAACCTTACTCAACAAGAACTGTGCGGTACCTTGTCAAAGGCCTTGCTAAAGTCCATGTAGACAACGTCTACCACACTGCCTTTCATCTACTTTCTTGGTCACCCCTTCAAAAACTCAATCAATTTCGTAAGACATGATTTCCCATGCAGAAAGCCACAAAGATGTGGGACAGACTGGAATAAGCAATAGTTTTTGTTCATGAGTGATCATTTTCTTTACAGACCGTGTATATTTGTCAACTTGCAGTTGCAAATAGTACATGCAATTTATGGTAGTTCCTTATGAAAAGGGGGTGAGTGATGTTTGAGGAAATGCTTTTGTGCGCTGTTACTTTCCATAGTTATGTGACTTGTAGTTGTTATCTGTTTACAAAGCGAAGCCATTGAAACCTACACATGGAGCACAGTGCTGTGTGAGAGTTCCCCGCTTTTGATCCAGAGACAGCGATGTAATGGTGATTATAGTCCCAAATCAGATGGGGCCTCAATGCAAATCTCTTTCCTTTGACAGGTTATAAGGTTGTACTGTACTTTTGGATTGTAACTTGAACCTTTTGTAAAGACTTTTACGGGGAAACAAGATATGAGGCATTGTTCCACATCTAAAGATAGCAAGGAAATGGATACACAGTGTAGTTACTGTTGATTATTTTGAAGATTACTGAAGGGTTTGAAAAGTCAGTTTTCAGCCAGTGGCTTGTTCTTCACTTATCTCTCACATTTTACATATTCACATTTTGTGAATAGTAGCTTGACTGAAAAAATGGTTATTTGAGCACCTTATCATTCTTACCACTGTGGAAATTTTAAGGAGAAAGATGTTTACAGCTAAAGATTGGGATTTGACTTTTTTTTTAAAAGGGGCTGATTCATCTTGCTTTCAAAAGCCCAACTTGACCAGAATTGGCCTTTTATAAACTGAGTTCGTCTCATCTATGTAAGTGAGATATCCTGCTGGCACGAGTCCTATACCAATCCCACACCCAATTTAATGACAAAGGGATTGGACCTAAAGCTGGGAGAGGATAACTTGATACTATCCCTAGATTATGAAACTTACAGGCGTAGCAGTGTTGTCGACCTGCTGGTCTCTGTCCAAAAACAGCAACCACTATGTCTCTAACCTCAAAAACCTCAGCACTGCTTCAAAAATATCTGGAGTATCGGGGCAAAGGATTGGTAGGTACTTGGGCGTCACAAGAAAGGTAGGTGGGAAAGGTGGAGTCCCAACCATGAATCTCTTGCGTACTATTCAGCTTCTACTACATGGTCCAAGTGTTAGTCTTTCCTTGGAAAAAGTGTGAAAGTAAACATGTCTCTCTACTTCATGCCCATAACAAATGAGCAACTCTAGTTGCAAAGCAGAGGAATGTTGACATTTTTAAATAACGCACAATAGCACAACAATTGATCACTGAAGTTTTAATCAGTGCTACATTCTTTGCTAGAATGTGGATGGACTGTAAAAGCACATGTCCATTTTTGAACTTTGTCCGATGAAAGCTGCGAATGTTAGGTCAGTGGATCTGGTGTCAGATCTGCATGGTAACTAAGGGATACCTTGGTTGCCTTGGTTACTACCTATATTTATCTGCATGCAGATGCAGTCCCTTGAAGCAGTTTTAAATCGCATAGCAACTAAACTGTGTCATCAGCTGTTTGATGATTGCTTCAAAATCCATTAGTGGTGGTGCTGCTGGATGGTGGCGAGCGGGAAAACCTGGCGATGGTGGCACTGTCGTTTTTGGGGTTCCCAGTCGGTGACACTGGGGGTTGTGACATTCCAAATGGTGGCTGCAAGGCTGGGGACAGAAGAGGCTGGTGATGATGACCTTGACTTTTTCGACCAGCAGCTACAGCACTTGTGAAGGCTAGTGACCTTGATTGTAGTGTATGTGGTAAGATTCTTGGTAGTGTGGATGAGCAGAGAGATCTCGGTGTCCATGTGCATAGATCACTGAAAGTTGCCACCCAGGTTGATAGCGTTGTTAAGAAGGCGTATGGTGTGTTAGGTTTTATTGGTAGAGGGATTGAGTTTTGGAGCCATGAGGTCATGTTGCAGCTGTACAAAACTCTGGTGCGGCCGCACTTGGAGTACTGCGTACAGTTCTGGTCACCGCATTATAGGAAGGATGTGGAAGCATTGGAAAGGGTGCAGAGGAGATTTACCAGGATGTTGCCTGGTATAGAGGGAAGGTCTTATGAGGAAAGGCTGAGGGACTTGAGGCTGTTTTCGTTAGAGAGAAGAAGGTTAAGAGGTGACTTAATAGAGACATACAAGATGATCAGAGGATTAGATAGGGTGGACAGTGGGAGCCTTTTTCCTAGGATGGTGATGGCTAGCACGAGGGGACATAGCTTTAAATTGGGGGGTGATAGATATAGGACAGATGTCAGAGGTAGGTTCTTTACTCAGAGAGTAGTAAGGGCATGGAATGCCCTGCCTGCAAAAATAGTAGACTCGCCCACTTTAAGGGCATTTAAATGGTCATTGGATAAACATATGGATGATAATGGAATAGTTTAGGTTAGATGGGCTTCAGATTGGTTTCACAGGTCGGCGCAACATCGAGGGCCGAAGGGCCTGTGCTGCGCTGTGATGTTCTATGTTCTATGTTCTATGATCTATGGTGCGAAGTGGGCAGTTAGTAGGCTGGTGGTGGGTCACCGGAGGAGAGAGGTTGGAACTTGAGAGACTGGCTGCGTTCTGGTCACGGCAAGATGAGTGATTTGTGAGGTTAGTGAAGGAGGTCCTAGAGCTCGTGGCTGTTGTCAAGTTGCCATGGTCGTACCAGACCATAGGGCTGCTTTCTCATTAGAGAGCGACAGTCGGGGGTGAACTAACCTGAGGGTTACTACAGCTCAGGCAAGGGGAGAGGTTGAGAAGGAGAGTCCTTTTGTGGTCATCTCAGCCAGTGTGGGAATTGAACCTATGCAGTCAGCATCACACTGCTTCGCAAACCAACCGTCCAGCCAACTGAGCTTGTTGTATTTGGAGGTTGCAAGCAGGCATCTGTGTCATTGGCAGATGCGTGGCTCGTGACATTGATGTGGATTGTTGCAAGCTTGCTGATGGTGACGCTGGCATTTCTGGTACTGGTGCTTATGAGGCTGGCAAGGGTATGATGGATTATTAGTAGGCCAAAGCTGCCAATGGTAGTAATGGCAGTAGCGGGACTGTTGGCTGCAAGGCTAGTGGAGCAAGACGGGTGGTTGCTTGCTGATGGACGCAAGGCTGGCAAAGGTGACGCTGATGGTGCCGACAGAGGCAATATAGTCGGTGACAGGCTAGTTGCTGTGGTGCAGGTAAGGTACGATACAGGAGAGTACGGGGCTCGCAGTTGCAATTATGGCATTCAACTCTGGCAGTTGCAGTGCTGATGGATGTGAGACAAATGGACACCAGGCCTGAGAGGATTTCATATGGCTTCTGATAGAGGGAGCATGGCGCCTGAACCATGAGTAGCCTGAAGAGGCAGTTAGAGTGACTTGTGCTGAAGTGGTGGATGCACAAGTCTGTAGACTAATGTGGGAGCAGCTGTTGCTGAAAGTTGTAAGCGGTCAGTGGCTCAGTGAAGGCTTGTGAGGGTTTAGTTCCCATTTGAAAATAGTGTCTGTATCAGTTATCATCTCTTAAGTACAGCGTATGTTCCCATTTTTTAATTGCATAATCTGGTTCCATTCCCGTCTGTACTACAGCATCAGGATCGGTTCCCGTAAGTGAATGCAGCATTTGGATCAGTTCTCATCCCTAATTATAACCCTGGGTTCAGTGCCCCTTTGCAACTACAGTGTCTGGTTCAATACCACTCTGTGACTACAGCTTCAAGTTCCCTTCTCATCTGGGACTGCCAACCACACCCCAGGATCACATTTTGCTTCAACCTGCGGTCATTGGGTTTCTGTAAGATTGCACCAATCTGGAAGATCTTTATTTGTGATCTGACTACTGTGAGGTTCAAGCAGGAAAACAACTTAAACATTCGGGTTTCTGCCGATCTCACCTTTTTTAAGTACAACTCGATGAGATGGAGGTGAGAGGGCTTTGTGTTGAGGGTCAGGTGGGTCCCTGTGGCGAAGGCGGAGACACTGAGGTGGAGGTTGGCATGGATGTGAGTTGCAGGAGGGAGAATTTGAGATGGGGGAATGGACATGTATGAGGTGGAAGGGGGTGGAACGTGGTGTCGGGGTGGGGGGTGCTGGATGGATGGGGTGGAGGGGTGGGATATGAAGTTGCGGAGTGGAACATGACATGGAGGAGGGTTTGGGCTGTGGGGTGGAGGAGGGAGGAATGTGAGATGGATGTGGTGGAGGAGGAGGAGGGTGTGTGACTAAGGAGGTTTAAAAGTGTGAAAGGGCAGAACAGTGGGAGAGAGGATCATAGGCAATAGGGGCATGTGGAGGAGAGGAAGGAGGCATATTGTGGAGCAAGGTGTGTGTAGAGGAAGATGAAGGACTAATAAATTGATGACGTTAAATAAAATTATACATTCAACCACCACATCATTTGTTTTGCTATGATCTAAATGGTTTGATTCTTTAAGGTTAACTTTTGGTTAGCGTAGAGGAGGACTTTTTGGTAGGATGTGCATTCATGATTAAGAGTGCACACCTTAATTTGTTGTCAATCATTACCATCTCAGGAGGACATGATATAGATATGACTTGTAGTTAGTCTATTAGTACCCGATGTAGACGTCAAATGTAGTTTCCTAGATAAGAATACATACAAATAAAGTTATCTTAAAAATAGAACCTGTCTTGTTATTTCAGTAACCCCTGTGGATGATTGGTACATTTACATTTGAAGAACAAAACAACGCAAACAGCAGTGTGATAATGATCAGATGTTTCATTTTATTGACATTGGCTAAAAGTTAAATATTGACCAGAACACTGGAAAGCACTGCCCTGCTTTTTGGAAAGATAGTAATATGAAACTTTTATATCCACTTGAGGGGGCAGCGATCTATTTTTACACAAGGATTTTTGGATATTTTTGGACTATTTACTTGAATTGCTTTGAGGCTGTGGAACAGCAATTATTTATTCATCGTTATGTTCTTTGTTTCAGGAGGCCGAGGAGCAGATGGCTGTCCAATAATAACCTTTCCTGAATATTCAAATTTCACTGATGTCCCTGAGGAGGAATTGCAAACTGTTATAACATATCTAACTAGTATTCCCAGGTAAGACTTCAACTAGTGTGTTGTTGAACATACATGGATGTAGCAGTGGGCTTGATCTTTGTTAGTTTGGGGGAATCTCTTCAGGTACTTTCTGAATAAGACTTTCTCCCGCACCCTTCAGCTTAAATTAAGCATCATAGCTTGCTGGAAGCATAAGTTTAAAATGCTGCAGCATGAGGCATAGACATTGTAACCTTGCTGAATGAAGTAACCAATTTTCCTTAACTAATGAAATTTAAGGATTGGGACAATTGACAAAGGAAGAGCTGAGTGGGAAGTAGGATCAATAAGAGTCGGATCAGGAATGTTGGGGTGGAAAAAAATGAAGAGGTAGAAAAAAGAAGAAACAGAAAAGAGAAATCAGTCCTGATGTAAGAATTGAAAATTAGAAATTTCTCAAATCTCCAGCTGCAATTTACCACCTGGAGGACTGGGATTTAATGCTATAAAAATGGCAAACTATTTCATATAATGGTACTGTCTGTGGAGAAAAATAAATGTTTCAGGTCAGTTGACCCTTCATTAGAATGGAAATGCTTAGAGAGTTAATAATTTTTAAGCAAGGAAGGGAAAGGTGGGGGAGGAACTTGACTGCGTTTTTTGAAGAAGTAACAAAGAGGATTGATGAAGGCAAGAGCGGTGGACGTGATCTATATGGACTTCAGCAGGGTGTTTGACAAGGCTCCTTGTAGTAGACTGGTCAGCAAGGTTAGATCACACGAAATACAGGGAGAACTAATCATTTGGATACAGAACTGGCTCGAGGATAGAAGACAGAGTGTGATGGTGGAGGGTTGCTTTTCAGACTGGAGACCTGTGACCAGCGGTAAGCCACAAGTATCAGTGCTGGGTCCACTGTTTTTGTCATTTATATAAATGGTTTGGATGTGAACATAGGAGGTATGGTTAGTAAGTTTGCAGATGACACCAAGATTGGAGGTGTAGTGGACAGCGAAGAAAGTTACCTCTGAGTACAACGGGTCCTTGATGAAATGGGCCAGTGGGCCAAGGAGTGGCGGATGGAGTTTAATTTAGATAAATGTGAGGTGCTGCATTTTGGAAACACAAATCAGAACAGGACTTATACATTTTATAGTAAGGTCCTGGGGTGTGTTGCTGAACAAAGAGACCTTGGAGTGCAGGTTCATAGTTCCTTGAAATTGGAGTCACAGGTAGACAGTGAAGGAGGCGTTTGGCATGCTTGCCTTTATTGGTCAGTGCGTGGAGTATAGGAGTTGGGAGATCATGTTGCGGCTGTACAGGACATTGGTTAGGCCACTTTTGGAACACTGCATGCAGTTCTGGTCTCGTTGCTATAGGAAAGATGTTGTGGAGTCTGAAAGGGTTCAGAAAAGATTTACCAGCATGTTCTCATTGAGAGAGGCTAATAGGCTGGGGCTATCTTCCTTCGAGCATCAGAGACTAAAGGGTGGCCATATAGAGGTTTATAAAATCATGAGGAGCATGGAAACAGTGAATAGCCAAGGTCTCTTTCCCAGGGTAGGGGAGTCCAAAGCTAGAGGGTGTAGGTTTAAGGTGAGAGGGGAAAGATTTAATTGGGACTTAAGGGACAACTTTTTCACGCAGAGGGTGATGTGTGTATGGAATGAGCTGCCAGAGGAAGTGGTGGAGGCTGGTATTATTACAACATTTAAAAGCCATCTGGATGGGTACATGAATAGGAAGAGTTTAGAGGATACGGGCCAAATGCTGGCAAATGGGACTAGACTAATTTAGGATATCCGGTCAGCATGGACGAATTGGACCAAAGGGCCTGTTTTGTGTGCTGTACATCTCTACGACTCTATGAATGGAAAAAAATAAGAAATTCTGTGAAAGGGTGGAAGACAGGGCAGGTTAAATGTCAAAAAGGATGATAGTGCAAAACAAAAAGGGATGATAATGGACAGATTTTTTTTTAATCACTCGCAGATATGGGTGGCTCTGGCTAGGCCAAAATTTCTTGCCCGTTCCTAATTACCCCGAAGGCAGTTAAGGTTCAACCACATTGCTGTGGGTCTGAAGTCCAGACCAGTTAAGTATGACAGATTTCCTTCCCTAAAGGACATTAGTGAAACAATGGTTTCATGGTCATTGATAGACTCTTAATTCCAGATTCTTTCTTGAATTCACATTTGCTATGGTGGGATAG